TATCGAAAATAACAAAGTCACCGTTGTAAGGACAACTAGGCGGAGGACAATCGCCAAAGTCATCGAAACGCGTGTGACGCGACAACGGCGTCAAAGAAATATACGAACATTAAATGACAGAGCAACAAAGGAAGGAGAGGAAACTTGAGTTATTTATAGACAATGATTAGCTGAGATCAATACATAATAGTTAACAACAGGGAGAAGACAGCAAATAAGGACAAGTATATATACATGTATATATCCTCGACGCGGTCACAAAAACAACCAAGTCCTGCTAAAGGCACATATTGCTTCTACGACCAACGTTAAGAACATAAGAGGAACTTAATGTTATGCACAAGATAGGATTTTCCAGTTTAAAAAAAAGGCTAACTTAAAATTAGGCAACTGAGGCGGAGTAAAAAATAAATAGATTAAAAATAGGTCCCGATGGCCCCTATTTAATTATGATAACTACTCTGCAACGATGATCTCATTGCATATTTCAATCACAGTTCGTTTGTAGTGTACAGCTTTTGGCGACACGGTTTGCCTATGTGCGCCTTATTCTTACTAACAATTGATATTTGAAATTGAAAAAGAGAACGGCTGAAATACGTGAGATGAATATAACTATCCTTGATATGCACCAATGCCTGGGTCGTTCCCCTTCTTTAGCTTATGGCCATGTAAAGATTAGTTTATCGAATAACCCTGGGACCTTATTTCTTTCGAACACAACTGTGTTTCAATCAACGCTGCCTATATCCGAGTGCTAATCATGTAGGACTTAAGTGATCTGCTTTTGCATTAAGGAGAAAATTAATTTCAACATGCCGTACTAGCATCTCGGCAAAAACAGTAATCGAGACGTTCAGAGCTCACAATCGATCGTGAGCCACTAGAATTCAATTTCGTCCAGTTCTAAGAGAAATATCAGTCCTACCCTAAAAATGACGTTCGTAATTAAAAGAGATCTCAATCGAGTTCTCCTTTTATATACGATATACTGCTACTTGTAGGTCAGGGCCGTTGAGTGTTGAAAACAAAATTCTAAATGAAAAAGGCAAGTGAATCGTAGTGGAATATGCTCCCTCTACCGGGTAATGGCATTAATACCCGCAGCAGTATGTGTCATAATCCGTTTATTCATCCAAATCCGTTCATTCAAAATAGGTACTCATTTTTCATCACAAACAGATTTCTGCAAAAGTTTTCCCCTTCAAAAAGTAAATATTTCCTCTTAGTTCGCGTCATTTGATTCTAAACAAAGTCAGAGTTTTGCTCTATCTACTAGACTAATAAAACAGATTTGATACAGAATAATTGTTCTATACATAATGAAAAAAAATCCACATACAAGAAAGGAAAAGAAATATCGCAAGAAAAACCAGCATTGAGCTTATTACGAAGCGGCTTCATACGCGTACAGCTCGTGAATTCGTTTATTTAAGCCTCGTTTAGAACCTAGCACATACCTCACAGAGAGACCCCACTGATGCATACTTTGAAGAGAACTTATGTTGCCTGAAATCTGTGCCTGCCTGATTACGTCATTCGTGGTGGTAAATCGTATTGTTGGCATAGTTAAATTGCGCAATAGCCTATTCTCGTTGCTGGTCCTAAGTAGTGTGAATTAGCTCATCGCCGGATTTGAGACCAATGGCAATCAAGCTTGTACGGGTATGCTCTAATCGTAAAGGCATTTGTTTTAGTACCACATATTTAGGCGGCCCGCTCAATGAGAAAATCTTATTTTAAACACATCTATGCAGGCAGTTGAGGTGATCTAGAAGTGTTGAGACATGCCTACAAATAGGCTTGCCTTTATAGAATGAAAAATACGCTGTACACTTGCACATGTGAGAGAATGCCGATCGACGCAACGTTTAAATAATTATGATTTCTACAGACTTAATTGCGCAAACAGGTAAAAAGTGATACTGTAACCATGGGCGCGGCAACGTCTGCTACACGCGTTGAACGCGACCTACCTGCCATTGCTCTATCATCGTCCTTTTCGAATATTCCATTCGAATGCGATCGAATTGGTCAAAGGCAGAGACAGCGGACCTTGCGTCATGTCGGAATTCAACGACTCGAGTTTTTCCTCTTTCGGGACGACAGTGATAAGGCCTTGTTGCTCTTTATGGCATTGCTATAACCCTTTATATAAAGATACAAAACTCAGCGACGCTAGAGTTTGTAACGCAAGAGATTAAATATCAGATTTACGAAGAGCAGGGTGAGACGCACCTAAGTACCGAAGCTGTTGTTAAAGAGACAAATGCAAACATCAGCCGGGGGCGCTGAAATAAAAACCCCGCGTCAACCCGCGCGTCTGACGTCAAACTGGATGAACACCAGGTAACGCCGCCGAACAGACCCGCTCTATTACCGCGGGTGGGAAAAAACGACTGAAAGTTGCTTTAGGCGAACGTAGTTGCAGATCTCTCAGCAGGCGTCGAAGGAAATGCTTGGATACTATTTGATGCGCGAATCAGGTCAACGACTCTCGTGACTGTTGCAAATCACCAGAACGAGCGAAAGAAGAAAAATAGTACCGCGCCTGATTTCTGATTCCTATTCCGATATATTGCTTGGCAGAACAATGAATCAATCGTGTCACCTGGCATACGCACAGGTCGCTATGGTGACTTACTATGTGATTTCTGCTTGTCTCTAAGCGATGGACCGATAGTGTATCAGTAAAATAAAGATTTAAAGATGATAACCCTAGATATAGAGATAAGATGAAGAGGATGAACTCAAAGATACATTTTGTGTTATTACCGCCTGTATAAGATTAACCTACTGTGATTATTATTATAGTTCTTTCTAAGTTTTTGATTATTCGCCTTCAGTTAATAGTCATAAAAGATTTGCAATGAGATCGATATAGATAACTAAGACTTTCTTAATTTAGATTAACTTTAAAATCAGGACATCATACTAAGCCTATTTGCATTTTCAATGAAACTAACAATTATCTATGCTGCTCGTTTCGTTCAAACCAGCGCTTATGATGCTGACAGGAAAAAGGGTTGTCCAGCTAATTGTTCTGTTGCCATATTGAAGGGGAAACTAATGAGGAAGCTGAGCAGGTGCGTTTATCTCCCCTCGTTAACCTTAGTTCTTGTACCCTTGAGCCAAGTCCCGCCTTTCCTTAACCGTAAAATGTATGCGCCATCGTTAAACGGCCAATGATACCCGATCGCCAAACACGAGACAAACCGTTTCCACAGACTTTGCTTTTCAACGTGAGCCCATCTGCAACTTGGGCGTCCTTCGATCACATCACCAGACGCTTTCCTAGCGAAATAGAACTTACCCGCACAGAGCCGACTCCTCTTCGATCCCCTCTCTCCGTACACGCCACATGTTTTGTAGGTCGAGAAACAACTGGTAGCTAGCTAGCTTGGTTTGCTCTCGTTTTAGCCGTACCCATGTGGAGGACGGGTAAGACGCGCACCTCAAACTCTCCTCTACCTGAAGCTCTACCACCACGACGAGTTAGACTTCCAGCTTTATTGACCAGCGTCAGCAAATCATTTCCTGATCACGAAGAATGCTGAAAAGGGAGTCAGGGTTGGTAGATTACCGCTTGTTGGCCTTTACTTGGCGAGGCATAAGTCAAGAAACAAGGATTCGAAGCCACAACGGCAATATATCATGATAATAGCCAGGCTCGCCGAAAGAGGATGAAATGGCCCTTGACAGGCATGAGAATGCTCGTTGCCTCTCACTACATTATGATGTCTAGTAAATAAAAATTGGCTGGCGGACTTGCCGCTAGCATGAGACGATTCGTGCACGCCGGCGATATTTTATCTATTTTTATCTTCGACTAATATCTAATCGATATAATAAGGCCTGTACGATGAACGAAGGATCGGGCAAAGCCAACAGAGATCTGCGGCTGTGTCCGTGTGCAACTGAAGGGTAAGTATTGCTAACATGATCGGTAGGACGAAAGAAAGACGCGTCTGATAGTGTGTAGAAACTGGCATGTTTGCTGCCGCCATTGTCTTGGTAACGTTCGAGCAACAAAACCGAACAATAGATATTTTATACCTGATACTGTCTCAGCCTACCGTTACAGACGTAATTAGAGTCAGGCTACAAGGCAAACTACAGGGTGTCGACGCTACGCACAACGTGAGCCGAAGATCTCCCTAAACGACCACAAACACTCCACCATTGTTATTGTAGTACGATGTGGATATTGGGAGACATGCACTAATTGTACTTGATACGAATACACATTAGAGTAACTAGGGAAGTAAGTTGATCCGCATGTCAGTCCGTAAGTAACAAACAAGTGAACTGTGACTGCCTTATCTTGGCTGATCTGGGGCCTTGAAAAGTTGCAGCTGGTAATCGTCCTATGCCATCCGCTATTCCTTAAATGCGCAAGTTACATACATCTGATACCGAATATCGGGCGTTTAACAAGCCGAACACAGCCCAGACATTAGTAGGCACATAAACGAGCAATTTCCGTATGAATCCACATCGCTTCCATTCTGAAAGGCTCGCATTGACGGGTCGCGAGTTTGTACTCTACAGCGAAGGTGCCTGTGCTGTAGGTCTGTAGACATAGTTATCATCGTATAATATATATAAAAGAAAACGGAACCAGCCCAATTCGATGATCGCACCTTCCACATACAATTACCTGTATATGTGCGTGTGAATCTGCGTATGTTTTGCATACATGCTATCCACATTTAAGATTTGAATTTATCTCGTATATCTGATGAACAAGCGGACTAATCAGATGCCTATCTGATCAATATCACGTTAGTTGGCCATAACTACGTAGTGGATCCTATTGTATACACTGAGATTATATACACTAAATATTACATACAAAATCATCTTTTTGGCTTGCACCATATTTTCTGACACTGGACCAATCGTATTAATATTATTATATTATACTATGTTTACTATCTGTCTAGAATTTAACATTTAAGTCTCTTCACGTAAATATGGTAATGTGCCTTCATTCTTACCATGGTCTAGCTACGGTCGTGAAGCCCTTATCATGGCGGGTTACGTTACCTGTGAATGACAGTAACAAAAAAATATCATATGAATTTCAGACGGTAACAGGATACTGTATTTCAATGGCAAACAATTCCAGATGCGCCCAACGAACGATACGAGATGCGGCCCCCCAATGCTCCATATATTCCTGATTTATAGACGGGTATATACATCGTTGCGCATTTGGACTACAATAAATGTATAGACTACTTTGTGCATAATTCACTTGATCTTTAGTGCGGGTGATCGGGGAAGAGCTGTTCTAAGTCAAATCAATGCCACATATGTACATATATATTCTGCTATTATAAATATACTAGAAATGCATGTTTTGTCTGTACTTGGAGCCCAAGTGAGGTCGACTGTAGACGGACTGCTTACAGCATGCCCAAGGTGTGGCATTTACTCTATATGATACAATTTGTACGGTAACATCGAAAGCATAATACAATGAAAATTAACAAAAAAAAAAGAAGAAGAAAAAAAAATGCAAACTTTATAAGAGACCTGTTCGGTTCACTAAATAAACTACAATAATACATTTGTGTATCTGACGATCTTTCTGTCGAGTATTTGGTGGTGTTTACTTCTAAAATTTCGAATGAATAAGAAACCTCTATTAAAAATTTTTCATGGCTCGTTGAAAATATCTCGGTATAAGAAAATATATAAAAAACAAAATATATACGGCGGAGCAGCTTTGGGCTAACTTTTAAGCTCGAATAGGGAACACCGTTTTATCTACATAATACTAATAAGTACCGGCAGCGAAAATATGACTTCAAGCAACTGGACGCCAATCACTCAAGATGCCTTTAGGAGATTATTATGTGTAAGGGTAAAAAAGATAAAACGAAATTTGCGATATAGGGGCTTCTACTGCCATAGTATCGCAGAAATTTACTTCCCTTAATTCATTCAGTCTGAAAGCTAACTTAGCTAACGGCTAAATAACACATGTGTATCAAGATGTTCTAACAGAAACTTTTGCGAAAGCCACTGCTGTGCATAACATTACGTCTAATCTTGTTTATTTATTATGAAAGAAACCAAGTACCCCCCTTTGATTTACGTTAGCATTCCGCATAATGGTATGCCTGTCGATTTTGATTACCTCAAGAGTTGCATACATTACAGCGTTTTCTTAACGACCAGAGCAGGCTGAATTTACTGGCGGTATAAAATGACTACCATGCAAAAACAGGTCATCCTGTCCTTTTTGGGCACGAAATAAGAGCTAGATTATCGTGGTAACATTACTAGAAAATCCTCTGCGTACTATGCACTTGATTGTAACGCAGATGTCCTAGCAAGGACCATTGATGGTTAGTTACAGCCGCATTTTGTCCATTAAACCAAGCGAATGCTCCTCTTTGTATCACCCGGTTGATTCAAAGATCTAACCTTCTTTACCTAGGCCCAGTTAGAAGCAATGCAGCTAATACAGGGCAACTGTGGACGATGATTTGCTGATAATAACCATCGATTCAATAAATCTGTATTCTAAAACCACCTTTACGCCTCTCTGCATTATGTATTCCTGTTGGAAGTGTCAAACTTGGGTTTATATTTTTTTTTCCCTAAACTCATTCTCGTTAAACCTTTCCACGATTCTTGTGAGGCCGAGGGCGACATCGCAATCGCTAGTACTGCGTTATATCTATGTGCCCTCAAGTATATACACGAGGCTTCGACCCGTTCGGCACATCTGGGTGCCAAATACCGCTGCTTCCCTCATTTCATTGTGGAGGTGACAGCAAATGCTCAGGGCTTGGCAGTACGTGACCTCATTTTATGCTCTGATCATTAATGCAGCCAATTATCCGGCTTATTCAATAGGTTGCGCAATTAAAAATAAATGAATTGCTTGATGATTTACGCCTAAACCAAACTGTGACCCCCTCAAAACCCACCGTATTTTAGCATACATCACGGTAGGGTTATAAAATATCCATATGCTGACACACACAACTGGCACTGTGATTATCTTTTTGAAGTACAGATTTCTTCTTTTCTATATTGTATATTATATCTTTCTGCTCGCGGATACCTATTATAGGATAGTCGCATTATAACAGCCGAACGCGTTCTGTTGTTTTAAGCGAGCCTTGTGAGCTAACAAGGCCGTTTTCGATATCGGCAAATGCAGTTATCTATAACTTTTCCTCTTGATTAAATTCAATATTTCTAACCGTAGAAGATTGTGTGATTTATTTTTATACTTTTGCGCGAGTCCTTTGTGACTCCGCCGAAGGTGGCTTGGGAAACCTTAAATTCAAGATCGATAGTTTTTGAGCTTTCTTCAGTTCATTGTGCAATTCACTAATGCAAAGGTTGCGTTAATTGTCACCGACAGATTCTGTATAGATCGCAAAACAATGTTTTTAGGTAATATAAACTTCTCTTCCGACGCCTGGTTCATAGGAAGGTTCCACAGTTGTTTGTAAGGTTTTATTTATGCTCTAGAAGTCCCCCCTACAGAGTTTATCAGTGAAATTGTATAAAAAAAAAGATAAATTAAAACCCAATTGGCATTAACGTAAGCTAATAAAAAGGGTTGCAAAGGTCCTGGGCTTTCGGCTTCTTCTAAAGCGACTGTAAGCTCTCGACACTAAACCTTGTTCAAAGACTTACTGTTGGTAACGAGGCGAGGAACAGTCGTAATATATTAGCATGATTAATCCATATAGATGATGAAATAGCGCTTAGAGAAACAAGAATATGTATAAATACATATGTATACGCTGTATCGTCACTGACAATTATAGCAAAGAGAAATGGCCTATTTTTACAACAGCTTATGACTATTCTACTATCCTTAACAGCACAGAACTTCAATACATGATTATTGAATACAGGTAGTCGAATTGTTTGTGAGCTCGGCAACGACGAACGGATAGGCCACTTATGCCCTGTAAATTGTGTTGGCATATGAAATGAAAAAATAAGTTACCGCCTACGCTATACTTTATTGCTTCTCAGTCGGCGGTAACCCGAAGAATCTTTACTAGGTCTAGCGAGGTATTGAAGTTGTAATGCCTCTATAATAACTGGAGTGTTAAGAAAATCTGCTTGGTAGAACGTGGACCATGCAAGCTTATAGCAGAATAGGTCGAGGTTGTCGACCTTTTTTGGCATTTCTAGGTTTAACGACCCTTCCGAATTTTACAAGTTAATTATATGGAATATTATATTTCATTTTGCCATTATTTGATGTTGATTAACTAGGACACCATTTATTAGTTGGCTAAGAACTTGATAGCAATCAAACAGTTAGAATTGGTTTGCACTAGTTCTTACTGATGGTGCATGACGCAACAGCGCTGTCTTGGGCGGGGGGTGTAGGGAGGGAACCTGGCGTCCATTTGTATAGTAGGCATAGGTGACTGTCAACGCTAACCTCAAAGCTTTTCAGCTTGGCCAGTCATAGCATTTGTCTTATTTAAACTTTGGTTGCTGACATTAAATCCTTTGATTAAAAGCAGCCATTTAAAGCCTAGACCAGCAAAGCCACCAATTATCTTATTATTATTATGGGTTAATCTCCAAGCTTTCTCTCTGTATGATGTTTTATTTAGTCGCGATTAGCAGTGAACGCTAGAAAGATTGGCCTATTTTTATTTCGAATTGTCAATCTTTGCGGCAGATCTTGTCGACCTATTGATTAACGGCACCAGGCCAAGCTGTAAACAAGCTGAATAGGTCGGCTTCAAATGGTATCCAAATAGAATATCGCATAGCAACGTACTATGAAAAGCCGCAAGCAAAGCACGGCAGATCCCATGGCTTGAGCCTTCAAGTCAAACATGCCACTAGCAAACAATTTGACCGTTTACGTACTTCACTGACAAGTCCAGACGGACATATGAGCGCTATTATGCGTCCATGAAATTTTACGAGACACCGTTATGTTTAGACAATAACTTCTTTTAAGGATTTCACGGTACACGATTGAATTCGGTATATAAGAAGCGTCGGTGTCAAGGTGTCGCTGCCAAAGGCTGTCCAAGACGCATTGATTGAGATGTATGGGTCGTGATGCGGCACAACTAATTGCAGCAGCTCACTTAGATCATGTCATGGAACTCTTCATGCACGGTGTATTGATACAGGGTAATTGTTATCACTGTTAGTGGTACTTTGCGTCAGTGTAGTTCGAGTTCGCAAACGAGACAACTTCGACGTCGTTAATTTAAAAGTAAGAATTTCGAAAAGCTCCCCTGGTTCAAAGAAGTGCTTTAAATGAAATTATGTTTCTGATTTGAATATTAATGGAACTTCCGTTAATAATAAAGTAACGAGGAACGCTAAACATTAATTAGCTGGCTTCCATGGCCATGATGGCAGAACACCCTTTCACTTCTAGTCACGTGGTCACTTCGACGGAAGGTCTGTGCGCCGCCGTTTCAAACCTAGTCGTTAGCCAAACAGATAGTTATTATGATGGCTACAGAGGTGGCATAAATTAGGTTCCTTTGAAAAGCGCTACGTCGGGTCACTCACGGTCGACCCAGAAATATATGAAGTTAGACTAACTTCGATTTAAAAAGCATCATTTCTGCAACCATAAGCAAAGTAATTATTACTCTGTATGGAGCATGTAGAAGTATGCATTTACATTACACAAATACCATTTTAGTTTGACTGCTACATAACTAACTGAATTCATACCAAACTATAGTAGACGATTAGATATATTTTTGTGAACATATAAAAGTAACTTAATCTTTGCGGATAATTTGTGCAGAGTGATAATAATGCATAATTTGTGATAGAAGTGCAGAGTCTTTATGGCTCTAATAAGTGGCATCTTCCTTTCACTATAGCATGTACAGCCCGATTCCGTTGTTTGAGGTCAAACGGTTTAAATATATTAGATAATTAGTGGCGCTGGAAGAGTTTAGTAGGGAATGGCACAACTAGATAAGCCGCCCATCAAATCTACAATCACGTGAGATTGGCTATCAAGGAAGTTTGTACTTTATCAGCTCAACTCCACCCAAATTTTTCATCTG